GCCATAGCCCTCCAGCTTAGCAAGAAGATGACAGTGACTATTCTTGTCAAAGGCTTTGCTGAAATCTATGTAAATAGCATCAACTTGGCTTTGTCGGCTGAAGGCATCCATAACTTGGCACTGAAGCTTGAGGAGATTGGTCACAGTAGAGCAGCCAGAGGTGAATCCATGTTGCTCGTCTATCAACACTTGTCTGAACAAGGGCTGTACAATATCCAATATTAGGCCTTCGAAAACTTTGCTTATAACAGACAGAAGGACAATTGGCCTATAGTTTGTAACGTCACGGTTGTCTCCCGACTTAAATATGGGAACGTCAAAACCATTCTTCAGGACCGATGGAAAAGTGCCAGAGGACAGACTACTGTTGAACAAGTATTGGGAGTAGAAAGGCTAGTTCAGAGTGGCAGAACTTGAGCACTCCTGGAGTTATATCATCAGGCCCGTTTCCCTTGGTTGTGTCCAAAGCCAACAGCTTCCTGTCGACATCGTGAACTGAGACGGAACATTCGGAGATAATAAAGAGGGGTGCTGAACACACGCACAGGCAGTTCACCATGGTGAGCGGGAGAGTAGACGGATGAAAAGAAGTCAGCGAAGAGTTGACATGACTCCACATTATTAGCAGCCTCATACGAACCAAATCTGATATTTCCAGGAATAGGAGGCGAACGATTGAGGTCTTTAACAAAGCTCCAGAAGACCTTGACAATGGAAGTGATGGTTGAGTTGACGTGGTTGATGAACCTTGATCGGCAGTCTCTGGAGATAGTCTTGCATTGGTCACGAATTCTGCAAAATGATTGGTAGTCCCGCCAATCAAGAGATGTTTTGTATTGTCTGTGGAGTGTCTTCTTAAGAATGACTAGATGTTTAAGTTCCACTGAGAACCACCTAGGAAAGTGAGAGTGACCTACGCGTTTCCAGGGAGAGTGAGTCTTGATAAGGTCACTGAGCTTATTGCAGAACGAGGAGAACATCAGGTCAATATCAATGCTGTCATCTATCTGAATGCCTTGTTGCTGAAGATCTTGCTTGACGCTCGCCAAGTCACATCTTCTTAGGTTTTTGATGAAGGATGAGGACTCCAGACGCGCTTTAGGAGGGCTTGGGATTTCTCCATGTACACACAAGCAGGGGTGGCAGAGTTCGTGGGCGAGGAGAGGTTCATCAGCACGAAACACGGTGAAGAACTCCGGGGATCCAAATATTAGGTCTAGTTGGACACCTCTGTCGTTGATTACGTCGCTGACCTGTGTGATTCCCAGATGAGCAGCAAGATCCAGAAGTACGCAAGCAGATTGAGGAGCGGAAGTAGGGTCAGGATTAATCCAAGTATGGACGGGTAGGTTGAAATCCCCAGCGATTAAGATGTGATCATAGCTCTGGCAAGTTGAAATGGTGTCACTAAGTGAATCAGCAAACAAGGAATAGATTCTCATGTGGGATTGTGGTGGAATATAGACACCGCAGATCAGGATCTTGCAAACCGCGTTCAGTTTGACCAGGACGCACAACGCCTCGATAGGAAGGTCGGGTTGAGTAATTTCGTGTGAGTGCAGGGACTTGTGAACAGCTATCAGTACTCCACCTCCGTCTAGCTTACTACTGGTTAGGGAAGACCGGTCCTTGCGGAACACAACATAGCCATCAAAGCCAACTTCAGAAGATGAGATTGAGGCATTTAAATTAGTTTCAAATGTATCTGATGATAAGCCTGGTTAAGATCAAAGACAGCAAAATACTTGGAATTACCGAACCAGTCAAAAGCCGAGTGCAAACCTGGGAGAGGGACAGAGTCTATTTCAATCTGAGCATTAAGTTTCCTATAATCCAAAACCTTCCAAGACTTTCCATTTTGTTTTGGTACTAGAAATGCTGGATTGGCAAAACTTCAACGCGAAGGCTCAATCACCCCATTATCAAGCAGTTCGTTGATGATTCCTCTCAAGGTGATGATTAAATCTTAGGAGGAGCTAAATTGTACGGATGAGAGCGTACAGGACGGCTGTCAGTTAGTCAGATCTCATACTCTAGTATATCAGTGACTACCAGTTTTGGCGTCAGCACATCAGGGTACCGCTCAAGGATGCACCTTATGGCCTCAGCCTAATTGGAAGTCAGATGCCCTAACTAATCGACAGGCTCAGCTTTTCCCGCATCAGGCTTTACGGTAGCTGCACCAAGAGGATTTCCATTGGAAAATGGTATTGACACCCGTCGAGAAAATAAAAAAAAAACACTGGCCACACCTTAAGTCCAAAATCATGCCAGACTTCGGTATAAAAACTGCCCCCAGAATTGTGGTGAAATGCAGCAGTATGAGTGTTAATAAAGATACCTGAATCCAATATATCCTCCACTAACCACGACTAAATCACACACATTTCCTGTCGCATTTCAAATTTTGTTGCAAACAAGCTAACTACTTCGTCAAAGTGCACAATAATACCTTGGCTGCATATCACAGCTAGCTTTTATGTTATTTAATACATCTAATTAATACATAGTGAACAGAGAAATAATTATGTGAATGGACTTATTCTGATTCGTAATAGTAACTAGGTGTAGCTAACGTGAATTCAAATATTAATTATATAAATTTGGAATATTGATCACGAGACCACGACCATTTGGTAAACCTAATAAATTACAGAATTAATTACTAATTCATTGCCCTAGCCTACACCCTTCCCCAACCTCTATTATATTATCTACTCATTCTAAGGTTACTCGTCCCAAAATTACAGAATTAATTACTAATTCATTGCCCTAGCCTACACCCTTCCCCAACCTCTATTATATTATGAAATGAAATGAAAAATCATTTATTTATACAGGCAAAGTTAGGGCCACATGGCCCTTTCTTACACTTAACCTGTACTTTAAAACATAATATAAATATTTTAACATAATCAGCTTATACAATAAAACAAAACAGAAATCATAGATACAGAAACTTTTATCAAAAATCAGTAAATTTTAAAAATACTTACACACACACACACATACAAGTCAGCGACCGCCATGCGCACAGGCTCCTACGACAAACCTACCATGACCATACGTTCAAAATAGAGAATTTTTAGTGCTGCCACAAACCGGGAACGACTATCGAGGGATTTAATAGCTAAAGGGAGATCGTTCCAAAGACGGCAAGCAGTTACAATAAACGCTCTGTCGTAAACTGCGGTCCTATGGTGAGGCATACGCAAAGTTATGATGCATGGCGTGAGAATCTGACACTTTCTTCAGCTACAAACCTAAAATCATCTACAAAATATTTTGGAAAATTGTTTTTTAATATTGAATAGGTTAGCGAAAGAATTTTGATTGATCTCAGGTCACATAGCTTTAATAACTTAGAATGAATGTAGAAAGGTGTGATGCGCTCACTGCGTCTTAGATCATAAATGAATCTTAGGCAGTAGTTCTGAGCGCGTTGGAGAGCATCAGCGAGGTTTACAGTCATGTCATTGATCACAGAGCTGCAGTAAGTGAAGTGGGGAAAAACAAGTGATTTAACCAGGTGTAACTTTATGTGCAAAGGCAAGAAATTCTGTAACTTTTTAAGTGAGTGGATTGATGCAAACACCTTTTTACGGATGTCTATCGCCCCAAGTAAGTGTCGAGTTGATAGTAAGCCCTAAGTTTTTGACCTTGTCATTATAAAGCAAACCTGTTCCATTTATAGTTATTGGATTCGTCGTCAGAAAGTGAATAGAGTTCCATAAACGTGGATGACAAATTATGATCGGTTTAGTTTTTTCGTGGTTAAGTCTGAGTCCGTGTTTATTAGTCCAAGTAATGATTTTCTCAATATCTTCGTTCACTCTCAGAACACTTTCGTTGATCTGTTTGGGTGAAAAATGTGTATAAATCTGTAAGTCGTCAGCATACATGTGGTATTTACAGTGTGTGAGGACTGAGCTCAAGTCATTTATGTATAGTACGAACAACAGAGGACCAAGGATGGACCCCTGAGGTACACCACTAGTAACTGTCTCCCAGTCAGCTCGTAAGTCATTATCTGCTCATTCTAAGGTTACTCATCCCATGGAAGAAGATGTCCTGCTGCCCACACACACTACACTACACTACTTCTCTCCCGTCTCGTCTACTCCCGGGTGAATCATTTTGGCTGCGCACGCATCTAGTCTAGTTGCGTCACGTGACCTAAGACCTTACGTGTTAGAGTTGTGTCTTGTAGTTGTTCATGCAGGGTACTCATCAGTATGTGTAGTTGACCCTGTCGTAGGAGTAGGCCGATGCAGGTTGGTTAGTGGTCCATCCTGGCGCAGCCGATGTCTGCCGCAGTTCCAGGAGGACCAACTCCGGAGGTGAACCCCATTGGTGGTGCGAACTACCCAAAAATTAACCACTCATTGTGAAGACAAAATACAACAAATAAATAATTAATTAACACTTGGTAAGTAAAAATACCTTGACCAGAATTAACAACGAGTGGCTCTTAATGCAGTTGCAGACACTATTACAAGTCACTTCTGCCCAAGGATCTCCAAAGCCTGACAGCACACAGCCAACTAAATAGCTAACACACTGACAACTTACATACTATGAAAAAATGAGTCGGGGACATGAGAGTGGTGACATGAGCATTGACCTGGCTCACTAGGACCCACATACTAAATCTCATCAAAATCGTACCACAGATGTGTGGTCTGTAGCTCTGTACATATCCACACACTCATACAGACACACACACACATACACGGAAATCCCTTCGTTAACCACTTTTTTGGGTTCAGGGTGACACAAAAGGATATATCTACCCAAAACTCAAACTTAAACATATTGACGCAAACAATACTTTCTCCATAAACTATTTATAGGGGCCAGGGGGAGAAAGTATAAAAAAACTTTTAAAACCGACCCAAGAGTTCTTTAATAGCTCATTACTTGTTTATTTATTTGATGTTACATACTAGGACTCAAATGTGTGCCAAGTTTGTTCTATTATTGATTGTTTTTTTTTTCAGGTATCTCAACAACAACTCAATATCAAAAATAGAAGATGGAGCATTCTCTAATGTACCAAATTTAAAACTACTGTAAGTATTTGTTGTATTAATTTTTTGTGGAATGTAAACAAATAATAATTACGTCATCATAATGTGAATTATGACCTTATAACAGCAACCACATAGTACAAATAGATGTAGCACAGGCGCGTGCGTTGTCAAGTCAAAGACTGCCCCGAAACTCTAACAAGATGGTGGCGGCTGGACATGACTCATCCTAGTGCCAAGCGTCAGAGTAGCGTTTCAGTCACACGACTCACACACACCGCACAAAAGTTTGCAGTGCACCACTGTGAATGATGCATTGTGTGCCATATTACCAGGGCCGGTGAGAGGCGTCACAGGCCCCTGGGCTGAGTGATACTAGGCCCCCTATTTTCCTGATTTATTGTACAGCGGCCTCAGTGCCGTTTTGTTTCAGAAATAACAATACATATCTAAAATGTTTGATAGTTTGATTAATTCTCGTTCTTGTCAAATCTCTATTAGTCCAAGCAAACTAAAACAACTGACACAGGGAACGTTAAAAAAAATGCATGAAAAGGTTTTATGGTTTTATTTTGTAGTGTTAGGTCTGCAGAGTGACATACTAAAAGTTGCCAAAAATCGGTCCACAGGAAACCTACTAAAATCTTAATTAAAAATAGCGGTTTTTCCAACATTGGACCAATTTGAAAAAAGATATACCACATCCATATTTTATTCAAAATTTTTGAGATATTGACTCGGGACGACCACCGATGTTTATTGGGTGGGCAGTACTTCATTTCGATAGGGAACTCATTTTTGGCCGCCATCTTGGATCCGCCATATTGGATATAAATGAAAAAATTAAATTTAATGATAACGATGTGACACATCATTATAAACTAGATTTTCACGCCGATTTCAATGCCGAAATCCGTTTTTTAATATCTGTTTACGTTTTGAAGATATATTCAAACGAAAACTCTCCCTCATACATTTCTTATGGACGTTTCGTACTTTTAAAGGTTTTTAAAAACCATTTTTCTTATAACTCCAGTTCTTTTAACGCTTGCAGTTCAGTCGAGATATAAATCTTTTAATAAAAAAAAAAGATTTCTAAAAAGTTAAATTTAATATTGTTTTGGGGATTGTAGCTCGTTGCTAACTCGTTCGATTTGAATTATCAGTAGGTCAAATGAAAGCGCTTACATCACAGAATATTTAAAGGGTAGACTGAACTACAAGCGTTGATAAGAACTGGAGATATAAAAATGGTTTTTAAAAACCTTTAAAGTACGAAACGTCCATAAGAAATGTATGGGGGAGAGTTTTCGTTTGAATATATCTTTAAAACGTAAACAGATATTAAAAAACAAATTTCGGCATTTAAATCGGCGTGAAAATCTAGTTTTTGTTGAATTGGCAAACACTGGAAACTTTCTAGAGCAAAATAAATTGAAGCTTAATCCTAAAAAAAGTAATTTTTTAACTTTTAAAACAAATCAAAATAAAAAGTTAATTAAACCAAATATCATGTATAATGCAGAAGAAATTGAACATAAACACAGTACACAGTTTCTAGGTCTAACTGTAGACCAAAATTTAAACTGGGATGAACATGTTGATAATCTTCTTTCAAAATTATGTTCAGGACTATATTCACTCTCTAGAATGTCTTATTTTTGTAACCATAAAACATTAAAAAACATATATTATGCTAATGTCCATTCACATTTATCCTATGGTTTGTGCCTTTTCAACTACACTAGCAAATTTGGATAGGATACTTAAACTTCAAAAAATAGCAAAAAGAATAATTTTGAAATTAGAACACAACGGAACAACCAAAAACAAATTCAAAGAACTGAAAATTTTAACGGTATATGGCCAATTTATTTACGACACAATTATTCTAGCAAAAAACTGCTTGAGCACCTCTGAGACAAATTATCACCCATACAACACTCGGCATGAAAAATTCCTTATTTCAAGTAAACATAAATTAAAAATGTGAAAATCTATGAAAATCAAAACCATCCTATATAGGATTTAAATTTTTTAAGCATCTTCCTAATGAAATCAGAAATGAACAAAGCAGGAAGAATTTCATGAGAAAACTAAAACTTTATTTAGTAGAGAAAGTGTTCTATTCCCTGGAAGAGTATTTTTCCACCTCCCCTCTTAGCATTAGCCTAGTAATTGATTCAGTTTTGATTATTTTCATTTCCTGGTTCTTGGTTTTTAATGTAGATAATGATCCAAGATATGCAAATTTGTAAATTATTAATTTAAGATAGATTTAGTTGACACCATTCAATGTACAAAACTGTACTTTATGAATAGGCCTAAAGCATATTTGATTTGATGAATGATGTGTCACAACGTCATTAAATTTAATTTTTTCATTTATATCCAATATGGCGGATCCAAGATGGCGGCCAAAAATGAGTTCCCTATCGAAATGAAGTACTGCCCACCCAATAAACATCGGTGGTCGTCCCGAGTCAATATCAAAAAAATTTTGAATAAAATATGGATGTGGTATATCTTTTTCAAATTGGTCCAATGTTGGAAAAAGCCGCCATTTTTAATCGAGATTTTAGTAGGTTTCCTGTGGACCGATTTTTGGCAACTTTTAGTATGTCACTCTGCAGACCTAACAGTACAAAATAAAACCATAAAACCTTTTCTTGCATTTTTTTTAACGTTCCCTGTGTCAGCTTTTTTAGTTTGCTTGGACTAATAGAGATTTGACAAAATAACAAAAATTTGACGTTTTATTGTAAAAATAATTAAATATTTTTGTATCCATAAGTCTTAGAACCAAATTATTATACTTATATTATAGGAAATTTAATAGTCTACAACATTGACTTTACATATCTTTCGCTAAAGCGCACCAAAACGGAGATATAGGCGAAAATCTCTAGAAAGTACCGATTTTTCGATATGGCGGCGGGCGCGGAGGGGGGAGAATTGTGCATTTTTCGTTTTAAACACCTACTTACCATCCTAGACAACATATAAAAAATTTAGACTTACCCGACCGTTTGTAAGTTAATATACCTCTATTCACTGGACTAGATACCTGAAACCTGAAACAAAACAACCATCTTAATACAGCCACCATCTTAATCTCTCAGTAATCTGGTAGATATAGGACTATGACTGCCGGATTAGTGAAAATGTCGGATTACTGGAATATTATCAATAAAAACACTTAAAATGCCCTTAAAACACGTGGAGATCTTCGGAAGATCGCATGATCTGAAACCGCTATTGCCACATCGGGGCATGACGACAATGACGTTTCTGTGACCGCGGGAGGCGATGTTAGCGTCTAAACGTCCTCGGGAGATGTTCATGATTTTGCCGCGATCACGCATGACAACGATGACGTTTTGGTGACCGCGGGAGGCAATGATAACGTCTAATTGTCCGTGGGAGATGTTCATGATTTTGCCGCAATCGCGCATGACGACGGTGACGTTTCTGTGACTGCAGGAGTGAATAAGGATGTTTACACGGCCTTGGGAGATGATAACATTTTTAAGATGATAACGCGAAAGACGACGATAATGCCTACATGACTGCGGGAGATGTTCATGGTTTTGCCGCCATTGCGCGAGACGACAATGACGTTTCCGTTACTGCGGGAGTAGATTAGGATGTCTACACGGTCGCGGGAGATAATCAGAATTTTGCCGCAATCGCGGAAGACCTCGCCATCAACATTTATTAGACATTTGACTAAGGTAATAGATATTGTACAGTGGCAGCAAATAAAAACCAAATTTACCTTTATAAAATACTTCTGCAACCGAAATAAAATATAAATACCCCGCCGCAGCAAACCTGCAGACTAAGCAAATTTCCGTTTACCTGGCTGGATTTCTTCAATCAATCATCAATATCGGATCATTTTTGCTCTAGTTATCGTGCTAACGGACACACATCTTATCTGACTAATATTATAAATGTGAAAGTTTGTGTGTTTGTTTGATGTTCCAATCACGCTTTAACTACTGATCGGATTGGGCTGAAATTTGGCATGATGATAGTTCATATTCCCTATTAACACGTTGACTGCGCGCGCCGACTTTACAGGCGCTCCCCAGTGGCGGGCGAAGCCCCGGCGCGCAACCGAATCATCGAACGCAATTGGCATTCAAATATTTCAGTCTGACGAATCACAAAAGAGCAGTGGTGACTGTGCTGCGTTACCCCGAGAGTGGATGTAGTTCACTGAAACACCCAAAGGTAGCAGCACTGCACGGATCCGTATCCAGTGTCTTTGTAATGTGGGTTGAAGAGAAAAAATCCCCGAAACCGGGACAAAAGCATTGCCAGACAGGATTTTACAGGAAATTTTAGTACCAACCTACACCAAAGTAAAGCTCGCATTCTAAGCTGGCAGGCTGGCAACGATTATAACGTCTCCGTCTGAGGCTAAGCTCACACTGACTCAATATATTTCTGTTGGTCTGGTGCCGCCTTTAGTCGGCGCGCGCCACCTGGGAGCGCTGGTGACGCCGACTAAAGTCGGCACGCGCAGTCAACGTGTTAACATATAAGCCTATCCTTATCTCAAAAATCCTTTCGGGCTCAGACCCAGTGGCTCTGGAATTCCCTATGATAACCTTGTGAGCATTCATATTTAAAAGGAATTAAAGAATTTTTACAGCTGTTTCAACTAGACAAGTTGGTTCAATGATATTCAATAGCATTAAAAAGTTATAAGGTTTACCAACAGGGTGCAGCACTATTAATGTTTTTGCATCTATGACAACAGCTATAGTTCGGCCGCTTAGAAAACGACCTCCTCCAGCATTGGTTTAGCATTAGCGCTCAGGTCGTTTTCTAAGCGGCCGAGCTATAATTTGAACTAGCAGCAACCAAAAACCTGTTATATACAATGAGAACTGTCAAAGTAGGACTGTTTACACTTATGTTTATGTTTGAATTTAATAATTGTTGGCAAGCATTAAAAAGAGATACTTGGTGTGTGTTTAAAAATGATGCAATGGAATACCACGCTATAGACAACCCAAATCATTACATCGGATGGACAGAGAGTGTATACACTGTAGAGCATTAAAATAGAAAGATGAGCCTGCTGGAATGTTTTGTTCTGTTGGAAAAGTTTCTTCTGTATTATGAAAATTCTGATACAGCTATGAAAGAACTTTACTTGGAAAAGCTGAAGAGTCGCGGCATTTTCAGTTCCAAGATTTTATGTTGTAAAATATTTTAGCCGTGTAATTTTGTTTTAAATGGTTTTTATTTAGTTTTTAATTGTAATTTAATCGCTGTAGAATTCTTAATCGTAACATTTTTTAACTGTGAGAATGAATAATGATAATATCTTATTTTTGTGATTGCTGACGAAGCCACTACGGATAATTATTGTAATGATTGTTATACTCTGTTTATTTCTTATGCTGTATAATATTTATGGTTATACCATCGCGGGTACAAGCTAGCTGAGTACCCGTCCTTCGTACAGGGTTGACGTATAAGTATTAGTTTTCAAAGAGTTTGTAGGAATTGAATTTTCAGCTTAGTTTATGAAAATGTATTTATTACTTACCTGCTATTAATCATAACCAAAATAGATTCAGGTATAAAATATTTAATAGCAGTTAAATTGTTGTGCAATATTGCACCAGTTCTTTCATTTTTTTACGATTCACAATTTGTTTATCACTACTTCTTCCTGGGCTGGTGACAAATTTATCCACATAACTGTTGCATGGAGTGTTTGTATGGTAAAAAACAGGTTCATACTTTTATGGGACTATTTTTTCAAATAAAATATTGTCCAAAAAACAGTAGACCATTTTTTAAAATTTATGATTAGTTGTTCTACTTACTTGTAAAGATGGGTATATAACCGCCATATTTATAGATATTCATGGATGTCATATGTCAGCACCATTTTTTGGGACAGGTTAAGATTTTATATTTTTGCTGAAATTACTTTATTATTATTCTAAACAACTCGCCACTCAACAAACACACACTAAACAATATAGCTATGTTTGTAACTCATTCGAAAGTTTTATTTTGTTCATATAGTTTTTGTATTGCCTAAAACCATGAGAGTTTTCATGAATATTTTATTTCAGGGATCTCTCTAACAACAGATTTCGGCGTATCACAAGGAAAACATTTGAAAATCTTCATAAACTAGAAAAATTGTAAGTTAACTTTTAATTATTATGAGTTTAATAATTAGTAAATACCTCCGCCGCAGCAAACCTGCAGACTAAGCGAATTTCCATTTGCCTGATTGGATTTACACTAAAATGCCTCATTAAACATATCTCTTGTTTATTCCTTATTTAAATAGAATTAGTTTAATGAGTACTTAGGTTTGCTGCAACAGGGAGGGTAAAAAAGTTTTGTTGTAAAATGTTAATAGTTTATTTGTATTTTCCAATAGTATAGTGTATTTTCCAAATTCCATCAAAATATGTTCATAAACAAGCAAACTACAACAGTTGATTTATTCTCCATAAGTCTTTGAAAATGGCCTTAGAGCCGAAACTATCGTCAGTAAATATTTTAATAAATAATTTTTACTTGGGTACTAAGTTTTGTTTAATCTTCCTTTATATATATATATGAATTTGAACGAATGGTGTTTTTGGCCTCTAGGGACCTCAAAACAAAAAAGTAAATTAGTCCCGGGTCCAGGTCTTACTATGAGTACTACGGTAATAGCTTATTCCCTATATGGGAAACTCGCTAAAAGGCTTGTCTGTATGTAGAGCCTAATTAAGTAGATAGGTACTGTAGCTACTTGGTAACACTAAAACTCACTCCCTAAAACTTTTTTATACAAGTTAAAATAAAATACCCCCGCCGCAGCAAACCTGCAGACTACGGTAAGCGAATTTCCATTAACCTGATTGGATTTACACTAAAATGCCTACATAAAAATATCACATTTATTTCCTATTTAAATAGAATTAGTTTAACGAGTAATTAGGTTTTGCTGCAACAGGGAGGGTAAAGGTGTTTTATTTTTGTAAAATGTTAATAGTTTAGTAAGAAATGAAAGTATTTCCCAAATTCGATCAAAATATGTTCATAAACAAGCAAACTACAACAGTTGACTTATTCTCCATAAGAATAACATGGGAATTTTAAATTTACAATTTTTTGAAATTTTCTCCGTAACCATTAGGCGCACAACAACGCTTCAACGTACTAAATTATTTGTTTTTTCATTTCAATTCAATTCAATTCAATTCAATTCAATTCGTTTATTCACGGCAGAAGCCGTTGTACAATAGTGCCATTACATACGGGAGATAACAACCAATAATAAATACTAAATTAAGCTCTACAAAATGGTTTGGAAAGAAATTGTAAAATTTTGTGTTTTTGGGGTCAAAAATGGAAAAAACCTATTTTTACCCCATAAAACCCCATATAAAACCCCGTTCCCGTAGTCCGATCATGCTGGTTCGCGAACTCGTTCGAATAAATGTAGGTTTACATGTTTGTACCAAATTTCATCAAAATAGGATCATTTTTGCTTGTGTTATCGCGCTAATGGACACATATATATATATATATAAATTTATAAATATATATATATGAATTTGAACGGATGGTGTTTTTGGCCTCTAGGGACCTCAAAACGAAAAAGTTTAAATCGGTCCCGGGTCCAAGTCTTACCATGAGTACTATGGTAATAGCTTATTCCCTATATGGGAAATTCGCTAAAAATAATCTTTAGGCTAACAGGCAAGTATTATTTGGAAAACCTTTTTTTCTCAGTTTGTGTGCATCGCAGGAAAATCTACGTCAACTGTTAGAAAATTATTTGCCTGCAGATGTGCAGGATACCTGTATAATTTAAAAATAAGCACAACAAATAAATTTAGGCCTAAAATAAAAAAAAAATTAACATGGGCCTTATGGGTTGCCATGGTGGTGACGAAATAACAACAGAATATAAAAAGAAAATCAAAACAATGGAAGAAATTCCAATAACATGTTTTATTTACATCGTGGGGTGAAAATAGAGAAGTCTGTAGGCCTACAATACATATTTTTGGTCGAGTTTTCAACCACTGGACGACCTCTAGTTAAATTAATTTGACAAAATCTATTGTATTGTAAGACATGTTATTTAAAATAAGGATTTGATTTGAATATAAACAATTTACTAATGTGAACTACCTATAACAGTGGTTCCCAAACCTTTTGTTTTGGCAATCCACTACCACCTTAGAATTTTTTCTTGCACCCACTTATAAAATAATATTACCAGGCAATAATAATTTTTAAAATGTTTTCTTATTAATTAATTTATACTATCATGTACACTGAAAAAACGACTAAATGCAAAGTGTGAGGATGATGTTATTGAATTATCATCATACAATAATCATACAATCGTACAATAATCTAATCCAAAAACACTATTGTTTGAGAAACTTTAAATTATTTGAAACTGAAGTTTATGCCAACTATTTAAACTCTGGTCTGACACAAGAGACTTTATCTGTATTGATGTTCAATTTTCTTTGGATTCCATTCCAGCAAAGTAGGAGTCTCCTGCGGAAGTTTTTGAAACCAAACTATTTTCAATTTAGCCTACTTCGGGTCAGGTTCAAAATAAACAATATCCCATATTTAGTATTTACAAAAGATATAGACAAATGAAAAATCTGTCATGATAACTTAAACGTTTTGGTGAAATCTTTGTAACCAAATAATTAAATTGTACTGTCAGAAACCCCTAATAAATCAAACACTCTCAGAAGTGTTCAACAGGGGATTAATTGTTAATAATTTAATAAAGTCTTCCTGCCGATTTAATTAAGAAAATTCCAGTAGTTTAAAACAGCTCTAGAGGGTTTAAAAGTATATTTCATATGTTTACAAGTTAATTAGTAAATTTAATGTATTGTTTATCCATCCTAACTAAATTTCATAATAGAGGCTATAGCCATCTCAACAATCACGATGATGTCGTAATTGTCTTCAGCAATTGTGGTAACATCATAATAATATACACTTTGTAAAGATTCATCCAAAAACAAATGGGCTGGGTTGGCCCTTTTTATATCTCAAAAATATTGTAAAATCTTTGTTTCAAAAACATTTATAACAATTTCCTTTATTAAAAAATTACAATGTTATTTGAGCTAAAAAAAGTTCCAAAACCATTCAAATCCACACTTAAAAATTGAAAATAAAAACCCCAAACAATTAGTATAATATTTAAAACTCATATTTTAAATCTTAAACAAGTCACGTTAAACAGTGAATATTCTGTTAATATTTTAATGTACAGCCGTACCCCTTGCTACCAGCTCAGTACTATTCTGGTGCTTCACAAACCCTTCCAGGATTGAAGAATTACAAGTCTCGGTAAAAAAAAGCTTTTTTAATGTTTGGTCTCTTCCCGTGACCAACCAAAATTGCTCCTTCGAATCATCAGTAGTTAGGGTAGCGATTTATAGTTTGGGAAGCCCCTGGGACCCACAAGAAGATCCGAGCAGCAGATGTCACGGTAAGTTATGATATCTTTTTGAAAGTGATGTGCAGGTAAAGTAACTTGGTAAGCTTTAAGTAAACATGAGCATTTAAAACTTATTCTCATTGGGATGTGTTGTGTATTTCAGGAAGATAAGTCAGAATTTCCTGAGTCAAATTAAAGAAGGAACATTTGATGAACTGGAAGCTCTAAAACAGATGTGAGTATTGCCTCTGAAACTCGCAAACTGTTTAAAAAATGCTTATGCAATTTTAGTTTTGATGTACTGTATTTTATACTTATTTTTGTGAATATTGAACATGGTTAACACCAACATGCGGTCGGGAAAAGAAATTGTAACATTTCTAGATTTTTCCAAAATTATCCTTGCCTGAGGGATGCTTAGTCTGCCATCTACATTGACAGGAATACCAAAGACACAGCTAATAATGAGTCATATCAAAATCAAAGACTTGAAGAACAAAGACTAAAATCATCTTTGGTCTTGTGAAAGAGAACAAAGTCGTATTTTTGCTTTGTTACTAAGCTGTAGATTATGGCTCCCTGTTTGGATTTTTGACAGGTCAGGTTTGAATGGCAATAATCTGAGTGACTTGGCTTGCCAAACTTTTATTTTAAAACTGTAGCGACACTTTGACTCATCTGTTTGTCACTATCCGCCTATTTTGATAGTGATAAGCCATCACTGCACCTACATCATATTGTGAGCTATCACAAGTTACTAAAATATCTAATTTTGGATCAAATGGCATCAATACATTGTTTTGTAGGAGCAACTTGCAACTTTTCTCAAACGCTTCCTCACATTTGTCATTCCACTTCCATTGAACTCCGTTATTTAACAACTGGTGAAGGGGGTACAGCAAAGTTGACAGGTTTGGCAAAAATTTGCCGTAATAATTCCATAATCCTAAGTACGAACGTAACTGCGTGACATCATTAGGCCTTGGAGCCTCTACAATCGCTCTACTCAATTCTGGACTCGGATGGATCCCTGTACCATCCAGAAGATGCCCTAGAAATACAATACTCTTTTGGAAGAACTTACTTTTGGCCTCGTTTATTTTTACAGCATATTCACTCAGCCTAGTTAGAACCTTATGAACTAAAACTACCATTTCTTCTGGTGAGTGACTTATCAATAGAATATCATCAAGATAGCAATAGGCATTTTGAATCCCTGACATGATTTTGTCCATTACAGACTGGAATATAGAACCTGCACTAGAAATTCCGTATGATAAAATTCCTTCATTGCTTCTAGCCAATTTCTTCCCATTAAAATTGGTTGGTCGGTGGAATCACAACCATCGGAAGGACCATTCTTTTCCCATTGGAAATATTTACATCTGCCTGAAACTCGTCAAGGACATAAATTTTTTCACCTGTGTATGTCTTCAAACATATTTTGCTTTTTGAGAGCTGTGGGACAGAATCCTTAAATTTATCAAAATAAACAGTGTCTGGTAGCATGCTAACAACAGCGCCTGTGTCGATCATCATCTGTAAAGGTACATTATTTACACGCATTTCAGCAACAAATTTATTAGGCCTACTTTTATCATTTGAGTAGGCTATTGTGTACAATTCTAGTTCATCTTCCCATTCATCATCTTCATCATTCATCTTCTTGATTGATGTTTTTTGCCTGTTGAACATGTGAGCAACTCTCCTGGTCGCTCTTTTCATCACAGAAATTCACCCTGGAGCTAGGCCTATTTTTACTATAGCCTACATTTTGCCTATTTTTGTTCTGGAAACAAACAACAGCAAGATGTCCTTTACGTTTACATAAGTTACAAGTATAGCCTCTATATACGGACAATTCCTTAGATCATGTTCTTTACCGCACCTGTAGCAGACCTTAGAGCTAACATTTTTGTCAGAAAACCCTTTCTTAAAGCTAGGTTTAGAATTCAGCACAATAAATATTTTTAATTACAACTCCAAAAAATTGACAAAAAAAAATTCAAAAACAAAACTTTTTAAATCGACATTATCAAGACGGCTAATTAGCAAAGCCTTTTTTCCATAGACGACTTTTTAAACACAAATAATTACTCTGAACTCTTAATACTATTGGCCACTAGTAGGCAGCCTGCATGACCAAAAATATTTTTACAAATTTCTTGAATATTTACAAATTGTTTAGTTTTGAAGTATTATTTACTTAAGTTTTTTATAAATTTGTGTAAGAGCTTTCCATCTTAGAATTATAAATTTAAATATTAGGCCTATATGTACAGTTTATGCAACAAAATGTTCAATGCTTCATAAGATGATATGGATTTAAGCATGATGTCATATTTGTGTCCTGACTTCTGACGTTGTCTATTGTAATTTTATGTTGCCGAATGACAATAAAGATTATTATTATTAAAAAAAGTCAACGTGATTCATATAGAAATGAAGTTTACAACGTAAAGAAGTCAAAGAAGAGTGGTGCAGGAGCAGGTGACGTTTACAAAATAGCGGCTATTTACTGGCGGCTAGTGGTTATAAGGTGAACCCTACAGATCCGCTGGCTGCTGGCGATATTTACCAGCGGCTGCTAAACTATTTGCTGTGACTTAAACTTTTAAACTAAAAAATTTAGTTTTATGTTTTCATACGTTAAATTATCCCTAATTTGTTGCACTACGATTGAAATTATGTTTAAGATACATTAATTTAATAATCAGACTTATAAACTTGTAGTAGAACTGTAGAACTTCTGTTTTTGGATTTCACTTTGAAATGGAATTTTATACTCTTCAGATAATTATTAGTCTAAAGGAATAGGCGTATTGCAGTTGGTTCATAAATGTTTCCTACTCTAAGCTAATATAGTCCACTTTTCAATACTGGCCAATGACCAGCTCAGGTAGATAGCCACTGAAATATTGAGGTTGAGTAAACTTTTCGTAGTTAGCCTATGAAAATTCTGAAGTAGTGTTTATCTTGTTTATTGTTGCAGTGACCTGACAGGCAACCCACTGGTGTGTGATTGTGCTCTGTGGTGGATCCTAGAGTGGTCCAAGAACACACCAGTCAAGTTGTCTCCTGTGCCCAAGTGTAGCGCTCCTTCACTGTTGAGAGGACAACCACTGAGGAAGATCAAGGGAGGGACACAGTGTGCCTGGCCTCACAGTGAATATGACTCTGCTGCCCTGGAACTCAACCCCAGTCACAATCAAGTATATACCTTTTTCAATTCAATTCAATTCAAAAAGCTTTATTTCATATGCTAAATATTTCACATCCTCTTGTGCACACGCGCGTGGGAGGAAATATTTAGGTACATGAAATTTTACAATGTTGTTACTGGCAGTCTATTCACTTTTGATAACAATACACAAATACAATAAATAATCATGGCATCTAAGCATACCATCTAAGCATACAACAATGACAAAGCAATTTTTTTTTTTACTTTATAACAAAAAAAAAACATGCAACAAAGAACAATAAAATACTAATGCTTTAACAAGGATAAAGCGTTTACATTTATAAATTATAAAGATTTTACAAAGTTCTAAATTTTTTTCTTAACGCTAGTTACGTTATAGGAATTTTGTAAAAGGTTAATAATGGTTTTGGAAAATTTATTGAAAATCATTATTGACGCACAACTGATTCGTTGACATGTCACGATTAAAACATGGAACTACAAGTGTATATATTTTTGAGGCTCTTGTACATTTTTGGTAGTTCTTAATATAATACAAACTGTGGTTTTTTATTACAAAATTAATTACAGAAAAAATGTATAATTGTGAAACAGTGAATATATCTAGTTCTTGTAACATATGTACAAGAACATGTAAGTTATACTTTCATACTTTGTTTTATTTGATATGTAATGGGAAAAGAGTTGTTTGATAAGTACCTCCCCGGTGTATAAGACCATAACACATTGTAGACTCAAACCATGCTGTATACAGAGTTTTCAGATACACAAGACTAACATAACTCCTAACAAAATATAATAAATAGTTAATCTTTCTAAGTTTTAAATTTAAATATTCTACGTGATATTTCAACTTGTTATCAATTATCTATATAAACAAAATTAGACTTTTGTCTGTACATTGCTCAGAACCATGAATTTTTAGGTAATTTTCTTGTTTTATACATTAAAGAAGCTAAAACAAGTCTCATCTTAATTTGTGTCTGTCTGTCTGTCTATCACGGCCCAAGAGCCATTTTACTTGGCCTTCTGAAAAACGAGAGTACCTATCAATATCCAAATCATTTTAATGTATTCACTGGATTGGCGAGAGTGTCTTTAGCTATTAAAATATGGCCTCAGGACTTTGTAAATAAAATTACAAACGTTTAAAAACCCAATTTTGTGCCATTTTTGTCAAGTTTTCTCCCAATGTTTATCACATACAGTAATCATCTATGAAATAACAAACAGCTGTACGGACCAAGATTATTATTTCTAGTTGTCACTGATATGTTTACATTGAATGTTGTTTACAAATACCGCAACCATTTACGATCACGTTTTGAAAGCAATTTCAAACCAAGTGAGATTAAAAACGTTTTTCCTTACATAATGGATTTAATTAATCACAAGTGCTATAATGTATGTGGTAACCGTAAATGAAAATAGAGATTCTTTGTGGAACGAATCCTTATACAAAGCTATACAGTTTTATCAAGAAGGTTGGCCCAGCAAAGTTTCGCTGAATGACCATGAACTAATGCATTATTTTAGAATAAGCTATGACCTAACAGTTCAAGATGGACTAGTGTATTTTAACGAAAGGTTGATAGTCCCACCATCCATGCGAATGTATACTTTACAGACACTCCATTAAACTCACTTGGGATTCAGCTAGTTAAAGAAGAAAGCTCAAAAACTTGTTTACTGTTTGGATTAATTTCAGATTTTAAAAATCTTATTGACAGCTGTGCTACTTGCGCCAAGTTTATGCGAGCAAAATTGAAAGATCTACTTCAACCTCATGAAGTTTTTTACATGCCTTTTTACAAGGTAGCAGCAGACATAGCCGATTTCGACTATTAGATTATTAATAGATTATTACTCAAGATGGATTGAAGTTGAGCGTATTCGAGATAAAAAAGCAACAACTGTCATTGCTGCATTTAAGCAAATTTTTGCTCGTTTTGGAATACCAAGTATTTTTGTAAGTGACAATGTCCCATTCAACTCTCAAGAATTCATTGACTTCAGTAAATTGTGGAAGTTTGAAGTAAAGTTTACTAGTCCCCATTATCCTCGCAGTAATGGATTGGGGAAAGCAGTAGGCATAGTTAAAAGTCAATGTTGCAAAAGACAAAGCATGAAAAGTCAGACTTAAGTTTATATCTTCTAAATTATCGGTCATCTCCAGTTGCGAATATTGGGTATTCTCCTTCGCAACTACTTCAAAGTAAATTTCTGAACACTAAGTTACCTGTAATACAGTAGACTCTCGCTCATCCGGACTAATGTGGCGGACGTCCGGTCCGAATTACGATAAATCCGGACTATCGAGAGTCGAGCGAATACAAAATGATAAACAGGCTGATAGGTAACAACACACTCCTAGGTGTGTTTGGCTGATAGGTGATAATGACAGGTGATAGGGCTTTATATAGCCCTTTTTTCAATTTTGTTCCAGGTCCACAGTATTCATAGCCAGGCAAATGCAATTCCACCGGTAATAATTTTTACCGCCGTGTTATCCAAGTTTTTGATGATTCATGGTAGTCTTGGCCCCGTTTAGCTCGGATAATCGGACTTATACTGTAATGTGCCGCTAAAAAAAATCACGATTGCCGATCCGGACTAGCGGGAGTCCGGACAAGGCCAATACGGATGACAGAGAGTCTACTGTACCTTCAAAACGTAAACTACAGATTATTGATGATAGAGAAGTGACAAGCAAACTTGGCCAGGGTATGCAGTATAATAAAACAGCACTAAAGAAAGCCAGTGTTTTTATTAAGGGACAAAAAGTATTAACCAGGAATGTTTCCAACCATGAGTGGGAAGAAGGGTTAATAGTTGATTTAAGCCTAAATATTTAACTTTTTCACACATTTAAATTTCATGACAATTGAAACTATAAATACAACCATGTACATGACAGTTAAGGACAAGATAAAATTAATTTGCTTTTCAAGAAAAATCAATACATTTAGTCTTTTTAATACTTACAATTAGTTTGTTTACTGTACACCAATTACCTATTTTTCTAAATCTTCCTGCAGTCATTTTTGCAACATAGTATGGTTTTTATTTTTACAAATAACCTTCTACACTCTTGGGTGGGGAATTATACCCAACCCATCCTTACTGTATTTGTTTCTCCATATAAAACTTAACTTTAGACCATTTGAATTATTGTGTTGTTAAATTAGGGAACATTTTGCCAAGATTTAAAGGGTAAAATACTGATTTAATCCATATAGTTGAATGTTTTAAGCCGCAATAGATGTTGTACATGAAGTTGTAAATGCAGGTTGTAAGTTTCAATGGCAATGACATGTGACAGGTTGTGTTTGAGGGTGACTCGTTGAACCTACAATGTCGAGCTCTAACTGGAGACATTGACTCTGATGATTCAGTCAACTGGCTCTGGGCAAACAAGGATCCTACCGACGTCTTCCACCACTCTATACAAGTACAGAACAAACACATCAAGGACAACGGCTTCATAGAAAGGTACACGATCTCTGCAGCAATAAAATAGAGATCTGTCTGGTAAACTAATTCAAACTTAATTGCTGCTAAATATAGGCTATTGTTAATTAATCAAATAAGAATGGTTGAGTCTTGTTTTTCCATGCCAGTAGGTTGCAGTAAGCCTATCGTATTGGAGCATTGTAAGCTAGCCAGCTGAGCGGAGTGATTCACACAACAAAATTATCGTCCTTGAAAATGGTCGTGTTCGTGTGTAGATTTAAGGAAGATGTCATAATATGCCGACGATGCATGAAATGTTGGGATGAAATAAAACAACACAATACCATGATTTATTTGGTTGAAATTAGAGATTATTTCTAAGTTTGTTTACTATTCGAATGTTCGAATATACTCATTCAGATCGAGTCGGGCTCGAATACTAAAGTATTCGTTCAACTATTCGAACTTTCGAATATTCGCACACCCCTAGTTTATTGTCATTGTCTATGTGAGTCAAACTGTGGAAGCTGTAACCTTATGAACTGGAAGGACATATCGGTGGCGATAATCAAAATTTGTGGCAAGAGAGCAACTTCCCCCTTGATATTCTTATTTTAATTTTACTTGTCAGTCAATAGTGGTGGGTTGACATTTCTTAGAAGAATGATTGGCACTCCAATTTTTAACTTAACTCAAGTTCTCGTTCAATTCCAAATCTTAGAAGATATAGTTCTCCCTAACCAGGACAATTCTGGAAAACTTTGGTACAATGGATATGTATACCTACCAGGGTTTGTGTTAGAGATGTGTCAATACCAACATCTATCAATTTTCAATTCTGAAGCAGTTTTTGTACCATTTTATCAAATTTGTATATGCGTTGGTCCAACTAATTAATCCCTGTCTCTATGCCCTAATTAAAAGGAAAGTTTGGATTAATGGGGGGTTTTGAAGTAGAGAAAAAATAAGGCATTGTTAACAAGTTCTATCTACCCAATTGGAATTCAAACCGGAAACATCACCATTGTCAGCAGAGATCACGATAAAACCACTTGACATTGACACAATTTTTACAATTGCGGTAGATTTCAGAGATTTTATCGCAATCTCGGCTGACTGTGATATATCCGGTCATTTGAAGATCGCTGGTTTGATTCCAAGTGAGATCGTTTCCAGACTAAGATGCCATTTGTCATTGGGCTATGAATTAATGATGCTATCAAAAAGGTCGACGTTAGCAACAAGACCAGGGTTTGGATTGTTCCTTTTAAAATGTTTAAAAATGCTATTGGCGTAGATAATACACAAAATAATGTCTTCATCTGATAGCCATAACGGAAACATCATCATTGTCTCCCTCGATGATGGGAAAATATTGAACATCTCCTGTAGTCACAGTTAGTTGGTAGGTAACCTTAATTTTTGTATTCTGCAATCGCAGCAAAACCCTGAATATCACCTACGGTCATAGAAACAACATCATCGTATTACATCTTTGCGTCAAAGACATGGCCATGTCTCGTGTCATAATCAACAACATTATCGTCTCCCGAGATGATAGTCGGCGGACGTCCGCCACATTAGTCCGGATGAACGTACATGGATACAGATAGCTTTATGTAAACAAATCGGGGGAAAATCGGTCTTGTACATGGATACAGACAGCTTTGTGTTAGTAAAATAATTGGGATAAAATCGGTCTTGTACATGGATACACACAGCTTTATGTCAGTAAAAAAATCGGGAAAAATCAGATCCATCAAAACCGGAACCAGCCCAAGATCCGACATTTTTTGGATCCGATCGGTTGCCGGTTCCAGCTCGGATCCGGTAGCCCAATATCCAGATCCGACCATCACTAGAATATATGATGGTGGATGCTCAGATTGAGGGTTACTATTAGGTGGGATATTGGAGGGAATTTGGGAATTCTGGAGGGAATAAAAAGGGCTAATAGGTTTGGAATATCTGTGTCTGGACCAAACCTAAGTTAAACGTGCCGTATCTGCTCCAATCAAATTAGGAAGATTGCTGGGGACCAAAGGGGCGGAGACCTTTTAACCAGATCAGAACACCTGCCTAGCCAGCTTTGATTTACACTAATTTAACTAACTATTTAACTAGATACCTACCCTTCCAAACTATGAACTGAACATGGAGAGTTGCTAATTAATACTGCTGAGTGAATGAAATTGTACGTAGATTAAATTCAAATTCTGAATGAAAAATATCCTGATTGAGAAATGTTAAGCTACATTCTGCTGGGGACATGAGATTGAATTTTTAGGTTTGAGAAGGCTCGCTGCTGAGGGCAGCGAGCCGGATAAGTGTTAAATTTAGTACATTTCAATAGTCGGGCGAAGCCTGAAGGGCTTGCCGGATAAGTGTTAAATTTCCTACATTTCAATAGTCGGGCGAAGCTTGAAGGGCTTCCCGCTTGTTTCCTGACTTATCCGCACATAATTACTACTTAAATTCTACATAATTTATTATATTCTAAGTTACTTATCCGTAATGCTGGAAGAGACGCCCTGAAAATCGGCTGCTTCTCGTACGAAAGATGGATGAGCAAGACGGAGGACAAGAGTGTAGGTAGGAAGGTGGGGAGAGAGCGTTCATGCAGTTGCGGCAGGCTACGAGTTGGTCATGCAGCCCGGCTTCGGGAAATACTCACACTATATAAAATAGCGTGCCGCTATGCGTCACAACAGCAACGTTAATGTTGTCAGGCAATCGCAGCAAAAGTGAGCATTTTTTTGCAAGATCTTTGCGGATGTCTTGGGTATCAATATTGGCATTAACTCTTGATGATCGATTCTCAATACCAATGACCAAGAATCGGTGGTGTATTGAGAATCAGTATTGAGAATCGACAAATCCCTAGTTTATATAAATGTACAAAATCCTTTGGTAGTGGGACACAACATGAGAACATAAATTATCCTTTCCTGTTGCTTATATACACTATATAAGAGGCAATTTAAGTAAAAATATACTGTACTTAAGAAGCAATTACTCTGTTCAAAGTCACCTGCATGTTTAACCTTTTTTTACCAACCAGAATTTTTAATGATTTGCAGTTTGCTGATAATAAACCATCTTGAGTCCAATCACAGTGGCCAATGGCGGTGTCAGTTGTATACTGATGATGGCAATCACACATCTAGTATATCTGTCATAGTCATCAGCAACCAGACTATCTACTGCCCAATCACAGGTACCAATCATCTGTGTTGTTTAAACTTAATTTGACAGTATTATTCTTTCATATGAACATATTTTATTAAGCCTCATAATACTTTTTTTGGTTGAAAACACCAACATTACAAGACATTTAAGTATATTTGTTGCATAACCTTTGTATTGCATACATTCATTGATAGTCAAAAATCATCTAGATATTTCCTTTGTAAATCCGAACCACCTAATAGCACTTTGTATTGCCTATTGCCCTTTGGGAGATTAACAAGATAGTAAAATATAATCTGGCTGTAAAAGTTTAGCATCTAGATCGTCACATATTTACAGGGCTGTGCGAATAGTTCGAAAAACGAATTGAATCTGAATCTTTTTAGAGATTCGATTTGTATTCGAGAACGATCTACTGTTTCTAACTGAATTCTGATTCGGAATCGATATTGAAATTTCCTGGATATAGATCTGAGTCAGGATTCGATATTCGATTTTACCACATTTGGATCAGATTCAATTGAATTTTTTATCATCTGATTTTGATTTGAAATACTGGGTCCAGCATTCAAAGATTAGAAACAAAAGCACTAAAGCACCAACTGACGGCTGACCCGGCAAAATGTATTTTCCTTCAGTAGATTGTATATCGCACTGGTAGTTTTGCAAGCGGATTGTTATCGAGTTGTTAACCAAAGATTCGACAATCGACTCTTTGGTTCCGTTTTTGAATTACACTCGCCGGGTTTAATAATAATAATACAGGGTGCGGCAAAAAAGCCGATCTATTTTCTGTAGAGCACTGTTCAGCGACAGGTCGTCCGAGAGTGGTAGGAGTATGCTCGTTGGAAAGCCTACACAATGCCATTTTTTGAAGTCATAGAGCACTGGTCGCCTGAGCTAGTGCGGTTGTTATGGAGTCGTTTTTATAAAATAGTGAATTCATTCTTGCTACTCAGTGGCAGTTTCATGCATTCTTTCAATTAAGGCGACATGGAGGAGTTCTGTTCTGTAGCACAATAATGCGGTGGGTTACTTACATTAGAACAACGGCTTCTGCGTTGAAAAGGAAGATGACAGGCCTTCCAAAGTCAGATCGGACGCCAGACAACAAACATTCAATAGAGTTTGTGCTGCTGTGGAAAACAGTCCTCGTAGGCCAGCCCAAAAACAAGCGGCTGCCTTGAACATGTCTGACCGCTGAGCTATACAAATTTTGAGGTTAATTTTCACCCCTATGGATTAGATTAATAATCTGTATAATTTGGTAACCATCCATACAGATAATCACGACAGAACCTCTCTATGTCAACCTAATTGAATAAAAGCACGGAACTACCGCTGAGATGCAATGACTAAATAATAACTTTTTTAAAACGACTTGATAACAACTGCACATAGCTCATACGACCACTGCTCTATGACTACAAAAAATGACATTGTATGAGCTTTCCAACGAGCCTACTCCCACCTTCCTCAGACGACTTGTCGCTGAACAGTGCGCTGCAGAAAATGGTTCGGTTTTTTTGCCGCACCCTGTAATAACTTCACTCGATCAGTTTTAGTCGGTTATAGAACCAACGGAGAATGAAATGGCGGACTGGTTGGGTTTTGTTGCTTCTTGTTCAGTGTCAATTGAATGGGAATTGGGATTGGAACCAGAACTTTGGTTTGACTTAAATTTGGAGTTTGAGTTAGTCTGTTTTTAGCATGTTTGATTTATAATTTACTGACGTAAGGTAGGATATTGCCTAAGTTGCAATTGGTCACAATTGGAAAGCTGATATAAAAACTACTTGTATACTCTGATTTGCTGTTGACTGGTTCATGTTAGGAACCTGACTATAGTAAGTTATAACTTGGTGTTAGGCTTTGGGCACATTAGTGTAGGTTGCATTTGAACACTATCTTGGCTATCACTAAACTTAACCTCACAGTGTGAGTTGTTACTTGTAACAGTAATACAGACTTAGGCTTATGTAGTGGAATAACACTGAGATGTATAGGCTAGGCCTATGTTTTAAACTACACAAATTAGTAGTCCATCACTTTTAGCGAGTAACTTAGACCTAGGTGGTAGGCCTAACTTATGCCCAATTGTTTAGTTTCAAAACTTCAGATAGGTAGGCCTCAATTATATAACTTTTTTTTATTCGACTCTGAACTGGTTTAAATATTCAGTTTCCATAACAGCTTTAAATTTGAGATTCGGATTCCATCCGGGTTTGAAAACGGCTGTAAATTTGAGATTCGGATTCAACTCGGGATTAATTAAAATATTCGGATTCGAACCAAAATTTCTGGATTCGCACAGCCCTGAATACTTAAAATGCTAACATATGCTATTTCAAAACCGTATATTGTAATTAGATGTTTTGTGAGGGTAGCAGGCTTACCTGAATGGAAAAGAGTCTTGAAAACATTGTTTTCAGACTATCACCCAACCTCGGAAATATGTTAGTCCACCCGAAAATTCCTGACCGGTCAAAAAACAATCCAACCAGTTCACATCGTCGTGGATCATATCTCTGTGGAAGCAAAAGTATAAAACTTGTGAAATTAACCAACTAAACAAACCTTCTCCTGCTCAATCACAAAAGAATATTAGTACATCCAAGGTTTCAACACCTGCAAAACCAAAAACATTATACTAACTACAATGTAACCATTGTGATGCACAGTGTTGGGAAGTAGCGCGCTACAAGTAGCGACGCTACAGTAGCGCGCTACTTTTTTTGTAGCGTTAGCTGTAGCTACGCTACTTTTAAGATTTTGTAGCTTTAGCTGTAGCTAGCTACATTTCTAAAGTAGTTGTAGCGGAATTTCAGCTACTTTTCTCGCTACATTAACATTGTTTGAGATAGTGATTTTTATCATAACCTCAACCTTACATGAAACCTTTTAAACTGAGATTTTCAAAAAAATTAGGCCTACTTTCTTGGCGTCATACAGCTGGTTGCAGCCGTTTCATTCCCTATAAACGTTGTGTGGACATGGAGGCCATTAAATAAGTGTTATCCACATTTTTGGCTCTCATTTCCTTAATTTACTACTCTCTGATTACTGTCAAATTAAATAAAACCGCTAGATGCAGACGACTTTTAAACGTTACCGGTGGGCGGTGACAAGAGAAGCTATTGAACGCTTGCAAGTGATTGACAGGGAAATTAGTAATCCATTTAGTTTCTTTATTATATCGATAGTGTTTCAACTTGGGTTTTAATGGAAACCAACACTAAACCTTAAGATAATGAGAAAGCTGTCCTATCAACCTTTGCTTTAGCTGTTGATTGTGGTTCATCATCACAAGCCCTTCCTTGGTTAGATTACGAAGATTTTTCAAAGGTTTACTAAATTAACAAAGAAGAAATTACCTGATGTGATTTAAGATATGCCTAGACTAAATGATAATTGTAACGAAAAAATCTCCATATAACATGAAACTTACATTGAAAAAATAGCATAGTTTGCTCCTGCTAACAGCTCTTGTATAGGACTATTCCTAGGCTATGTTATGGTTTAAGACAAATACCAAGTTCCAAGTTCAATTATTAGGAATATATCTGTTTAGTCCTTGCAAGAACAAGCCTACTATAGCCAACTTGTTACATAGCCAAGTAGGCCTATAGGCTATGTTATTTTTACTTTACAAATTTCCACATGTTTAAATTAAAAGCCGATTTCAGGATAAGTTGCTGAATACTGTTTTCTGTACCAACTAGGTTGAAGCACAATTTGCAATTTGCCCTATGCATAATGACAATAAAGGACGATTTCTTGACATTGAAAAGTGTTATTCATAGAACAAGTAACTTATCACTATGGTTAAAAGTTATAACAATGTCGTTTTTAACATTAAAAGTTAAGAAAGGCAATAAACTCAAATTTCAGTAGGTAACACCAACAAGTATTTTTAAATAATCGTTTTACAGTTTTATTGGTCTTAATTGTTTATACAAGACATCTATAAATGAATCTATATTAAAGAAATAAAATGAGCTTTTAAAATATAGTTTGGTTGTAGGCCTATGTCCTTTGAACTTAATGAAATTTACATATAAGATGCTTAAAAATAATGCAATATTTGAAAAATAAGTACTAAATATGATGGGAAACCCAACTATTTGGTTCTGTTGTTTTAATGTTAGGTATATAATGCCAACAAATTAAATACAATCTAGGAATAATTTGTTTTCCAAGTAATGTTAGACACAATCATTGACTATATATACCTGTAGAATGCAATGTGCTTGTGAATGTGGAATGCTATATATGCCTGTATGTATGTTATAAGCCTATATCATGTGGTATAGGCCTATAGTCAATGATACAATACTGACATTTTTTGTTAAAATATTTGTTCAATAAAAATGTAGTTACAATTAATTTTACATTTACCTAATGTGCGTGGAATAAAAAGTAACGTCTTTGGAAAAGTAGCTAAAATTGTAGCTGTAGCTACATTTCATTGTAGCTGTAGTTGTAGCTAGCTACTTTTTCGGAACTGTAGCTGTAGCTGTAGCTAAGCTACTTTTTTGTAAATGTAGCAGTAGTTGTAGCTAGCTACATTTTAAAAGTAGCTTCCCCAACACTGGTGATGCATATGTAAAGACTGCAAATAGATTAGTTGTCATTATTGCTATCTTCGAGAATGTTTATTTAAGATAAAAAAAAATAAAAAAACAACCCCCTTTTAACAAGGAATAAATTTTATCCCATCCCAATTTAAAAGTACAATTGTGTCCATTTCTACTTGTATCAATACCTAATGTGATGTGTGGGTTGTTGCAGTAACTAGTGACAACAAGGGTGTGTATACATGGCCCAAGACTGTGGGAGGTCATCTGGTAGAGATTCCCTGTATCGTAGAGGGAGCTACTACACAGGCATCCTACATGTGTGGGTCCAGCGGTCAGTGGGAGCAGCTCTTTACTGACAACTGTCCCTTTGCCAGTGAGACCACTCGTATACTAGAACAATTCTCCAAGGTCAGTTACACGGATATTCACATTTAATTCTACACTCATCCTTCATTTATATTTGAGTTAAAATACAAACCTAGGTGGTGACCCCATCTTAACCCTTTGCACTCCAGCAAAAATTTTTTGGGCCTAGCCAAAAATGCCGGTACTTTGTCGGATAATACCAGCCAAAAACTCCAGACATTTTTACTAATTCCTGTAAGCGTTTGGTAAAATTTATGTATCTCCCTTGTCTGAACAGATAGAGGCATTTGTTTTATTTTACACTCTACTAGCTGGCCCGACAGACGTCGTCTTGTCCTAATGTGGTTTTATGTCAAATGCTCGTTCATTTTCAAGATGAGCTCGTTCGCATGGCTCAATCACGTCCTGGTTGAAGTTCGTTCGCTGCGCTCACTTGCCTTCAGGTCAGCTCGTTCGCTACGCTGACTCGTCTCCAGGTTTAAGTTCGTTCGCTATGCTCACTCATCTTCACGCTCACTTGGTTTCAAATTAGGTTTTGTCATAAATTAAAAAAAAATAATAGTGCTGCACCCTGTTGGTAAACCTATTAACTTCTTAATGCTATTGAACATCACAGAATTAAATTGTTTAGTTGAACCACCTGTTAAGATTCTTTAATCTATATAAATAAAATTAGAGTTTTTTCTGTACATTGCTCAGAATCATAAACTTTTAGGTTATTTTTACGTTTTATACATTAGAGAAACCGAAACAAGTCTCATCATCTAAATTTCTGTCTGTCTTCATGTCTGTTACGACCCAAGAGCCATTTTACGCGGCCTACTCCTGAAAAACGAGAGTACCTATCAAGTTCCAAATCATTTTAATGTATTCACTGGATTGGCGAAATTGTCTTTAGCCATTAAAATATGGCGTCACCACTTTGTAAATAAAATAACGGACGTTTAAAAACCCAATTTTGTGCGATTTTTTGTAAAGTTTTCTCCCAATGTTTAGCACATATTCTTCTATGAAATAACGAACAGCTGTTCAAATCAAGATTATTTCTTCTAGCTGTCACTGATATGTTTACATTGAATGTTGTTTACAAATACCGCAACCATTTCCGATCACGTTTTGAAAGCAAATCCAAACCAATTAAGATTAAAAACGTTTTTCCTTACATAACGGATTTAATTAATCGCAAGTGCAATAATATGTAGGGTAACAGTAAATGAAAATAGAGATTCTTTGTGTATAAAATTGTTCTTGAGTTTTGATAACCGGGAAATAGACCTTGAATCAGTGTTGTATATTCAAATCAAATCAAATCAAAAAATCCTTTATTCAAACAGTACATTTCTATACATGAATTGTGTCAAGTCAAGAATAAACATAACTATACATTTGGCAAATTTACAGCACTAATTAATTAAGAGCTATAATCTATATACACTTTCTCCCCTACAACTACTTACTGTTCAACCATTACAACTAACTATTGATTTGACATACTAATAGCTAATTGAAAAAGTCCCCAATCTTGTAGCAGCATTTATCTGACAACAATTTGAATAAACTGGTTTTAAATCTTTTAAAATCTGTCAAACCCTTTATGGTGCTAGGCAGGCTATTATACAATTTTATACCAGAGTAGTATGGAGAATGTTCAATGTTGGAGGTATTATGTCTAGGGTATGTAAGGCTATTCTTTTGTCTTGTGTTATAGTTGTGAAAATCAGAGTTACTTGGAAAATTTGATAAATGTTGTCTTATGTACAAGATTAAATTATATATGTATATACTGGGAAAAGTAAGAATTTTGTGATTTTTAAAAATACTCTTACAGGATTTTTTTCCTTTAAGTCCAAAAATAATACGGATAATTCTCTTCTGCATTTTAAAAACTTTTTTCCTCCTATCTGAATGTCCCCAGAAGATCACACCATAATTAAACAAGTGATAGACATAACCGTAATAAACCATCATAAGAGTGGATATGTCAACAGATTTAGATAAAATAATGAACATAAAATGTGCTTTATTTAATTTTTTTACAACTTCACCAATATGATTTTGCCAAGTCAATTTTTGATCCACTGTGATGCCTAAGAATTTAACTGAGCTTACTGAATTTAGAGAAAGGTTCAAATCTAATTTTGTTGATGAGTCTGATTTCTGGTAGTTTTTTTGGAATTCCATCAGAAGAGATTTATCTTTATTTAACGCCAAACCATTTGCTTCAAACCATTTTTCTAGCTGAAGGAAATCTTGTTCAGCTGTTTGTTGCATAACAATTTTACTATGATCAGTGAAAATAATGGAAATGTCATCAGCAAACATTACTGATTTTGACTTTAAAATCAAAGGTAGGTCATTAATATAAACCAAAAACAGTAGTGGACCCAGTATTGAGCCTTGTGGCACACCCTCTGTGACTAATTTGAAATCAGATTTCAGATTTATTAACCGTAGGTCCACACACTGTTTCCGCGTTGATAAAAACGAGGTTATCCACTTTATAGCCATACCTGACACACCATAAAAGTTTAGTTTTTGTATTAACAGGCTATGGTTTACACAGTCAAATGCTTTTGACAGATCACAGTAGAGACCAGCTACTGCCTGTGATCTGTCAAGAGCACCTGTGACTTCGGTAATAAAGCTAAAGATTGCATCTGTTGTACTCCGTCCCTTCCGGAATCCAAACTGACATGTATCCAAAATTTGGGATGTTTCAAAATGATCACACAATCTATTGAAGACGACTTTCTCAAATATTTTTGAGAAACTAGGCAATAAAGAAATAGGTCTGTAGTTGGATATATCTTTTGGGTCACCTTTTTTAAAGACTGGTATTATGTTTGATAGTTTCAATAGGTCAGGGAAAACACCAGTATACAAAGAAATGTTTATCAAATGAACAATGGGTTGAGCAATAAACTCTGAACTTAATTTCATTAATGAAGTTGAAATTTCATCCCATCCAGAGGCTTTAGATGACTTTAAGTCTTTTATTATGTCTTGCACTTCTTGAAGGTTCACTGGCTTAAATGATATAAGTTTGGACTCGGGAGGGATTCTACTGTGTAGGAAGCCAAGAGCTTTATAAGAATCTGAACCAACATTCAAGCTTTTACATGTGTCAGAAAAAAATGCATTAATTTGATTTAGTTGCGTCCTGTCAGACATTGAATGCAACAAGAAGGGGTATTCTTTTTTGCTGTTGTCAGTTGTATTAGTCTCTTTTTTAACAATATGCCAGGCTGTTTTGGTTTTGTTACAGGATTCTTTAATCTTATTTCTGTTGTACAATATCTTAGCTGATTTTATACATTTATTTAATAATTTCTTGTATTCTTTTACATAATCTTTAAAACTTGTATCATTTGACATTTTACTAATTTCATGTAATTCCCTTTTCCTTTTGCATGAGACTCTAATTCCAGTTGTTAACCACCCTTTATCACAATTTTTACTATAACATTTCTTATTTACTAAAGGAAAACAAGAATTAAAATGCAGTTTAAAAGTTTGAAGAAAACACTTATAAAGTACATTTACATCAGTAATTACTTCAGATTTGCTAAAAAATTCAGTCCATTGTTCATACTTCAAAACGTTAACAAAACTATCCAAATTTTTTTGACTATAATTTCTTTTTAAGGATGGACTGATTTTTATCTTTGGCTCCAATTGTCTTTTTTCAAAATAATTATAATCTAAACATAAACACTGTGTTAAGTGGTCAGATAAACCATTTTCTAAAACTATTGCTTTACACAAGTTAGGACAGAAATTAGTGATAATATTGTCAAGACAGGAACTAGAAACATTCGTAATTCGAGTTGGAACATTGAAATGTGCAAAAAAATTAAAGGAACTTAAAATTGATAAGAATTCTTCGGTATAGAAGTCAGAATTTAAAACATTGATATTGAAATCTCCTGCAAGTAAAACATGAGCCTTAGGGGTCTTATTTACACAATAGCTTAAAAGGAAATGGAGACGTTCAAAAAACACATCAAAAGCAGCTTTGGTATAAACAGTTGGTCTGTAGACACACAGTACAATAAGATCTATGGGTTTAACTATTTGGACCCCACAACATTCAAAACTTGACTCAATCGTTAATTCTTCAAAATCCGGCCTATGTTTAATTTTAAAATGATCATTTACAAGAATGGATACTCCCCCTCTTTTCTGATTTTCCCTGCAGTAAGATGCGGCGTTTTGGTATCCATGTAAAAATGTATTGCTGGGAAACTTACATTTTTTAAATGAGCGTTTTCAGTCGAGACTCGGCACAGGACCGACGCGCGTCTACTTGTCTATAGTAAAAATAAAAGTAGGCCTACTGTGTATTTATGTTTTATTCGTCATGTGTATAAGTGTACAGTTCGTGTATGTGTTTCAAAAACTCCAAGACGCACCTAATGGGGAAGCTCAAGACCTTATAGGACTGATGATGGCGATTTAATTTCGCCGAAATGCATCTCCTGTAATAGGATACATTAGGATCGACCAGTGGACACAGGTAATTTAGCCTTTTATTGATTGTCATACCGATCCGGAACAACAACAAACGACATAAAATGAAGTTATGTATAATAAATAGTTTGGCCAGCATATCTGAAAATCTGCAAACCAACTGCTGTTCTTTATATTATATAAGAAGGTTTCAACTGATTACCATAAGATCCCCGTGCGTAGAACGGGTACACAGCTAGTTCCATTTAAATATGAGAACTCATAAGGTTAACATGGGAAACTCCACAGCCACTGGGGCGGTACCCTTTTGACGGATCTGCACCAAACTTCACACAAACCATCCTTGAATAATGCTGAATAATGCCTGAAAGTTTTATTACAATCTTTTGAGGGTTTTTGGAGTCCATAAAGGACAAACAAACAAAAATACTAGTGATGGTCGGATCCGGATATCGGACTACCGGATCCGAGCTAGAACCGGCATCGGATCGGATCCAAAAAATTCCGGATCTTGGGCTGGATCCGGTTTTGATGGATCTGATTTTTTCAAATTTTTTCCCGATTTTTTTCCT